CTCACCCGAGAGCTGGGGCTCACTCACGTGACAAAGATGGGGTAGATGAGGTTGGAGGCATCGAAGGTGGTGGCCGTGCACTGCCAGGAGCGCAGCACGGGGTGGAAGTATCCACTGTGGAGAACGGAGTCTGCCTGCATGGTGGGCTCTGCTGTCAGGGGAGGAGACTCTGAAACACCAGAACAAACCAGCGGGGCCCTGGTGAGCTGCTGCTCTTGGCACATTGAGGAGGGACCCTGTCCCATGCCAGGCCATGAGCTGCAGCCCAGGCAGCTCCACCCCACCTACCCCGGGCACCCTTGGGTGCTGCAGGACCCCATCAGCAGTCACAGCACGGCCCTTCCCATTAACAGGGGCGTCAGTGACTCCTCCCCACAAACCTCCCAGTCCTGTGTATGAAACCCCCCATTTCCAGCCCCTGACAGCCTCCCCAGCAGAATCATGTTCACCCTCCGCAGGTTCCTTTCTCTGAGCCCCAAGAGGGTCATTCTTCATTCATTTTACTTTTCCTTAGTGCTGAGAAATTGTGTGACACAGTTTTTGTATGGATACAGTTTTTGGAGAAGATACAGAGCTGCTCTCTGTGATCTTTCATGTTCCTTCCAACCCACACCATTCCATGATTCTGTGCAGCACCACATATTTATGGCTGCAGTGTGAAGGTGCAGTTACAGAAGAGGGACACCTCCAGGGGCACTGGAGGAGAGAGACATGCAACTATCCAGGGCTCTAAAGCTCTCACACAACTCTCACAGTTACACAACACCGGTGGCCACTTACTGCTGGGTAAAGAAAACTGTGGAGTTGGGTAAAACTGATTTCAGAGATTCAGATTTCAAAATTCAAATTTCAGAGAACAAAATTCACACATAAATCAATCATTATGATGGCTGAAGCTTCTTCTGCAGCAATGTTTTATTCTCTAGCAGACCTAGTAATAATTCTGTGATCAGCCCATTAAGAATTACATTTCCATGAGGGCTCAATTCCCACCACCATGCTGCTGGTGGATGTGATGAAGGGGCCGTGGGAAGGGAGCTCTCCTGGGATGAGGGGTTTGGCTGGAGTGCAGAGGAACAGCTGCACGACCCCAACAAGGGACTGTTTGTGCACAGCAGCTCCAAGGACTTCTGGCTGCTCACACAGGGCCACATCCCCTGAAAGACCTGTGCAGAGGAGCTCGGGTGCCCTAGGAGACAAAGTTCCTGCTGAAGAACGTGGGTTTTTGGGAGCTGAGCCTGAGGGAGGTGGGCAGGAGCAGAGCTGAGAGGGATTCTGAAAGAGCAGGTGGATGCCTGTGAGTATCCTGGGCAGGGCAGGGCTTCCCTGGGGAGATGGAGCAGCAGGAGGATGGGACCCCTCTCAGGGGAGCAGCCTTGGTCCATCCCAGGAGGGCAGTAAACCTCTCTGACCCCCAGCCTGCATCCAAACTCCCTCTGGAGAACAGAGTGGGATCAGAGTCCCTTTGGAGGCACAGCTCCAGCTCTCAGCACAGAATCCAGGGGACAAAGTTTTACACCAGCACCCACCACACCAGCCAGTAACAGAGCTGGGAGATGGCTCAGTTCTTCTGGAAAACCTTTAATATGAAGTGTTTCACCTATTTTATACACTCAAGACCCTTAAGATCTAATATGGAGCCAAACTCTGTCAGAGCACCCCAGTGCACAGGACACTTGGAACAAAGGGGAATTGTGTTCAGTCCAGGGCTGGAATTGAGCCTCTCATACCCCAAGGAATCGCTTCTGCTTGGGCATCAGGAAAGGCCCCTCTTGGTGAGAGGCTTACACATATAAAAACCCTGAATACAAACATCAGGTAGTGCTCGTGGGGGATACAGAGCAGTTGACAGACATGGCATCCCTTGGCAAGCCATTTTTAGCCCTTGGAACGCTGCTGCCCCAGGGAAGGGGACAGCCCTCGGGTGAACCGGAGCTGGCAGCTCCAGCAGGCGCCTGGCTCCAGGCAGGACTGGCAAACAAAGGGCTCAGTGAACAAAACCCACCTCGAGAATCCAAAAAATGTTTTAAAACAATTAATCCCACCAGAGGGAGGGGAGGAGGCCGGGTGGGACCAGAGTCACCTGACTGGATGGGACAGATAGAGGCCACAGCTCTGGACGAGGAGGAGATGGCAGCGGGTGGGATTGCAGTGCCAAGATAAGAGGGCACGGGTGTGTCCCAGGCTGCCGGGCCGGGTCCTCCTTCCCAGCCCCACGTCCAGGACAAGCTGCTGCCCACGGCGGGACGAGGGCACTGGGGTGGCACAGCCGGACACACCGGGGAAGGAGCGAGGCTGCAGGAATGTGCCGTGGGGACATTGCTCCCCCCGAGGTCCCGGCTGAGCAAATCAACCTTTCCCCAACATCCAAGGCTCAAACCTGCCTTTCTAAAGCTCTCTGCTCCGCGCACACCGGAGCAATTCAAGGACAGAGCGGCTTCACCTTTGCTCCTTCCACCGGGACGTGTCCACAGCCGCAGCAGCCGAACCCGCAGCTGTGCCCAGCCCGTGCCCGCGGCACTGCCCGGTGCCTCGCTGCTCCCGAGGGACGGAAAGCAGCTTCCCAATGGCAGAACCCGGCACACACCGGCACCGGCACCGACGGGACAGTTTTCGGGGACGGGCGGGACGCAGAGCCGGCGCTGCGGCGGCTCCCGACAGTCCCCCCCGAGCTGGGAGGGTTTGTTCCCTCATCTTGGCAGCAAGAGGCGTCCCAGCATTTCAGGACACACAACACACGCGGCCTCAGACGTGAGCTCAACTATTTAGCTAAATCTCAGGGACATGCAAGCTGCCAAAAGCCCAGCTAGGGACGGATCGGGGGTTCTAGGAAAGTGGAGTTCTCCGGGCAGACAGCGCAGCTGTGGGTTAATTAACAGAAGGCCAAGCTATTACCGGGTTAATTAAGAGCTACCTAGGAAAGTCGAGCTGTTAGGGCAGGTTTCCCGCTCCAGGACGGGAACGGGGATGCTCAGGGGTTGGAGTTACACCCCAGGACAAGCGAGAGCTCAGGACCGACGCCAGCTCGCAGCATCACACGCTGCTCGGTGCGTCCCCCGCCGCTGGCACGGTTACCGAGCAAAAACGGAGCAAAAACCGAGCAAAACCGAACAAAACTCGGGTTGTCCTTGCTGCGTTACCCGGGGCTGCCCTTCCTGCCTGCACCCAAGCGCGGCCGGGCCCCGTCTCTGGAGTCATTCCCCGGCAGCCCTGCAAGGGGCCGAGGTCGGGGACCGGAGGAGGGGCGGACAGCGCGGCCCCAGCTCCGGTGCCTTGTCCTTGTCCTTGTCCTGGTCCTGGTCCCGGTCCCTTTCCCGGTCCCGGTCCCCTTTCCCGGTCCCGGCACTCACCGATCGCCGCGTCCGCTCCGGCCGTGCGACTGTCCTCGATTTGCATAACCCCGCCCCTAATCAGCATAGCCCCGCCCCGCGCGGAGGGGCTGGCGGGAAGTCTCGCGGCCGAGCGCGGGAAAGGCGGCGCGGGAGGAGGGGGGCGATGGCGGAGCGGGATTTGGGGTGTGAGGGGGGATTTGGGGTGTGAGGGGGAATTTGGGGTGTGAGGGGGGATTTGGGGTCTGAGCGGGGATTGGGGTCTGAGCGGGGTTTGGGGTCTAAGCGGGGGTTTGGGGTCTGAGCGGGGGTTTGGGGTCTGAGCGGGGGTTTGGGGTCCGAGCGGGGTTTGGGGTCCGAGCGGGGTTTGGGGTCTGAGCGGGGTTTGGGGTCCGAGCGGGGATTTTGGGGTCTGAGCGGGGTTTGGGGTCTGAGCGGGGATTTGGGGTCTGAGCGGGGGTTTGGGGTCTGAGCGGGGGTTTGGGGTCTGAGCGGGGGTTTGGGGTCTGAGCGGGGATTTGGGGTCCGAGCGGGGTTTGGGGTCCGAGCGGGGTTTGGGGTCTGAGCGGGGTTTGGGGTGTGAGCGGGGGTTTGGGGTGTGAGCGGGGGTTTGGGGTCCGAGCGGGGTTTGGGGTGTGAGCGGGGGTTTGGGGTGTGAGCGGGGGTTTGGGGTCTGAGCGAGGTTTGGGGTCCGAGCGGGGGTTTGGGGTCTGAGCGGGGGTTTGGGGTCTGAGCGGGGTTTGGGGTCGGAGAGGGGATGGGCTCGGGGGGACATGGGGACACACGGCCTCGGGGTGCTGCGGGTGCAGGGGGCAGGCTCTGGGTGCTGGGGCCAAGCATTCCAGTTCCGGGGTGCTGTAGGGGCACCTGGAGCCAGGTTTGGGGGTGCTGAAGGGGGACTCAGAGCCAGGTTTTGGGGTTCTGGGGGGGCATGGAGCAGGGTTTTGGGGTGCTAGGGGGACCAGAAGGCAAGTTTTGGGGGTTCATGGAGGTTGGAGCAAAGCTGTGGGGTGCTACAGGACCCAGAGCCAGGTTTTGGGGTGCTGAGGGAGGCATGGAGCAGGGTTTAGGGTGCTGGAGGCCTGTGCAGTCAGTTCCAGGGTGCTGTGGGAGGAGCTGGAGCCAGGTTTCAGCATTCCCGAGTGGCTGTGACAGGCATTGGGGTGCTGTGAGGGTTTGGAGTGCTGCAGTGTTTGGTTTAAGGAGCATGGCTGGCGGTGTGGAGCAGGAGCAGGGTTTGGGGTGCTGCAGAGGCACCTGGAGCTGGGTTTTGGGGTGCTGGGGGCCTGCCCAGCCCAAGGAAGCCCAGACCCCTGCCCCGGATCAGATTTAGTGCAGGACATTCTGCAGTTCCCCACCAAGGCATCATTCCCTGGCTTGCTCCGGTGCAGAAACTCTGGATCCAGATCCTGGACCCTCCCCCCGGCCGGGAACCTCTGCCTGGAGCAGGGGGAGCTGATAGCTCCTTCCCACAGCACTCATCAGTGACCTGGAAATCCTCTCCTTCTTTCCATAGTCCCCCCCTCCTCTCACTGCAGCAGCCTTCATCCTCCCCTCATCCTCCTCCATGTCAGCTGCTCCAGAAACTATCTCAGAGCATTTCCTGCTCCCATCCCACTTATGCAACCACAACCTGCTCATTTTATAACTGACCAAAATACGAGACTCACATTTCAGTAAAAAAAAAAAATCTGTTTTTTATTTAGATCTCATTCCCTTCCGGAATATGCACCCCAGATATGTGCTGAAGAGAAAAAAAAAAAAATAAAAAGAGAGGAAAAGAGCTGGAAGGTGGGGAACAGCAGAAACTAGACAGCAGAAAATCTGTGTTGGTTCAGTTCTTTTCAGAATCTGGGCTTGTGTGCGTGTGAAAACGCAGCGTGCCAGGAGAGCAGGAAGGCAGGGTGGTTCTTGTGGGTAGCTGCCACCATTTTTTTGGTGGAAAGGATCCAGGATTCCTCACAATGCTATTTTAAAACTGCACATCATGAAAACCTGGAGGTTTTAAATGTATCTAAAACTTTCTGGGGGAGAAAGGCATCAGAACTAAGAGATCAAGTGGAAAAGTACAAACCTACACTTGCACAAGGGATACCAACAGCTTCTCTCAACCCCTCCTTGTAGGAGCCTTTTGTGAAACCGCATGTGTCCCCTGGGTGGGCACACCCTGCCCCTGCTGCCCTCCCAGAGGCATCAGCGTCCCTGGAATGTCCAGCAAAGGCTACAGAGGGACCCTGGGTGGAATTAGCTCATCCCAGCTGGGAAAAAGGGAAAAGACAACCACCACAATTCACCACTCTGTTCTACCACATCTCAGCTTGCTGCAGGGGGACCCCAGTGCCACCACTGACCTGTCACAGCCCCAGCACTGCACAAAGCCACCTGTTTTCAGCCTTGCTCTCCATTTTATCCCCCACCTTGTGCTTCAGATTTTAAATCAATCTCCTCCTTGTCTCTCAGGGCTCTCAAAGACACTTTCAGTGTACCGTTTACCCCGAGATCACGGTTGTTTTTCGGATTTGGGTTAGTTTGGGTGAGTCAGTGAGTGAACTCGTCGCTGTACAGCCACCCTGTGAGGCTGGAGGACACAGTGTCACTGTCACAGTACAGCAGGGAGAGAAGGCACAGCCAGGACGCAAGGAAACAAAGGGAAAAAAACAACTCAATTGGATCAAAAGCTTCAGTGTGCAGCTTCCAAGCCTCTGGACATCATCACCTACATTCTACACCCCAGAAGTGATCTCTGAATGATCTACTGGATTCAGCCCCTCAAAATCAGGAGTCTCACTTTCTCCTGGCCAGTTTCTGCACTGAGCACCCACCAGTTCTTTTTTCCTCTCTTTCAGAGCCAGCCCAGCATCAAAAGCCCAGGAAGTGCCTGCCCAGAGCCTGGGGAGGGCCAAAGCCCCCCAGGCACAGGGAGGAGCCACCCTGCCACGGGAAAAGCTTCAGCACGAGTCCTTTACAAAGTACAGGCCACAGAGGGGCAGTACAAAGCTCTAATGGACACACGAGGGGACGCAGCATGGTCGATTTACGGCGTTTACATCCCTCTGAGCACACCCCAGCCCCTGAGCGAGCTCAGTTGTCCACCTCTTCCTCATCGTTTTGTTCTTCCTCCTCCATCCTTTCATCATCCTCATCATTGTCCTCCTCTCGGCTCTTATCTTGTTCCTCCGAGTCTGCCTTCTTGTCTTTATCTTTCCTGGCCTCTTTCTTTCCTTTTTGCTCACGCCTGTAAACTGGAGGAGAGGGAACAGTGAGGGCTTGGTGCTGGCATGGACAGGTCAGTGGCTGAGGTCCAACATCCACTTGCTCTCCTGGCTTTGAGGGGAGCAGGGAACTCAGAGCACAACTCACCCTACGAGCTGAGCTGTGCTGAGCAGCTCCATAGGAAATCAGGTTAAATTTCAGCAGAAAAATGCTGAAAAGGACGCAGGTCACATTTACAGGCAGCACCTACGGCTTTCCTTAGATAAACATAATAGGGGAGTGAGAGCAGATGAGACTTTCTCAATCCTCATCACTTGTGCAATAATGTTATCCCAGTCCCGTTAAGGTGCACAATAGTTACTCCCCAGGCAAACTGCAGGGTAGGACGCTGGGCAAAGAGAAGAGAAACAAGACAGGCAATAAGTGTTGCTTGTCCAGCGTTGGAGGAAAACAGGACTTGGTGCCTCTCAGAGTCCCTGGACACCCACAGAGCACAGTACCTTCCAGGGATTCCTTCAGAGGGGCCACGAATCTCTGGAACTCCATCTCCTCCATGGCAGAAAGCACGTCCCCAGCATTCAGGGTTTTCCTCTTCCCCTTCATGGCAAAGTTATTTGCACTAGGCAGAACCAAAAAGAGAGGTAATTGGGGACTGTTGGCAATTTCATCTTGTTTATTAAAGTCATAAGCAACTTTAAAAAGCTATCCCCTAAACATTTAGGGTTTTTTACCATTCACTAAAGGAGATTTGAGACATTTTTATTCACACTGTCTGTGCTTTCCCACAGGGTTAGTTTCTGCCTGCACAGACCTTTTCTACAAGCAGGAGGAGAAAACCTGAGCCTTGGCTGTGACAGTTCCATGGAGCCCTAGGATGGCTAGGGTTCCATAGAAGCACCTGACACTAGAGAAGTGACTGCCTGCAGAGAATATGCCAAGCCACCCCAAAAATGGGACTGTGTCCTCTGTGGCAGCTCTTGCCCTAACACAGCTTCATGATGAAGAGCCTGAAAATGAGTCAAGGGCTCCTGTCTTTGCCAGGAAGGCTGTGCAGCCGTGTTCTAAGGTTAATGGCAATTTGGGACCCCTCTTTTTGGGACATGGCTGTGTCCAGAGCCCAGCTACCTTCCCAAGGGCTGCTCTGGGCAGTCCAAACCCACCTGGTATAGACTGGTTTATTTATTTAAACAGGCAATACAGAAAACCAACACTGGGAGAGAGTCCCCAGGCTAGCAGAGATGAAATATCAATCAAGTGCCCCAGTGACTGCTGCACCAAGTCCTTACCATGATGTTGCATACAGCACAAACACACTTGCTGCTCGGGAGATTGCGCTCCGGGCTTCTTTGGAAATATTGACTCCATCAGGAAGCTGAAAAACAAATCCAACTTTTATCAGCAGCTGCTAAAAACGACTTAAACTCCATAATCGAAGTGTCAGTTTGTTAAAGCACTCAGAGGGCTCAGAAAAACTGGGAATTGCTCTGGGGTGCTGTCGCAGGAGCTCTGCTCCCAGCTGGAAGCCAAGGGCAGTAGGAATGTGTCCCTCAAAGGCACGGAGCTGAGCACAAGCCCAGTGACTGGCGTTTGGGGTCTGGCCACCGTCTCAGGTAACTCATCCTGTGCCTGCCCAGCTCCAGACATGCCTGCCAGGCCCAGATCCACTCGGCAACCCTCACAGCGCCACAGCAAACGCGCTAAATTAACCACAACGAATTATTCTGGATTTTTATACAGACATGGACTTGTATGCTGAAGTTTTAGGGGGCCTGGTTCTCACAGTGCCACTGCGGGAACTGCGCTGCTGCTGCCGAGCTGCAGCGGTGCGGCTGCATCCCTCGGGACAGCGCCGGTACCCGAGCGGGACAGCGCCGGTCCCCGAGCGGGACAGGGCCGGTCCCCGAGCGGGACAGGGCCGGTACCCGAGCGGGACAGCGGCGGTACCCGAGCGGGACAGCGCCGGTACCCGAGCGGGACAGGGCCGGTTCCCGAGCGGGACAGCGGCGGTACCCGAGCGGGACAGGGCCGGTACCCGAGGGGGACAGGGCCGGTACCCGAGGGGGACAGGGCCGGTACCCGAGCGGGACAGCGCCGGTACCCGAGCGGGACAGAGCCGGTACCCGAGCGGGACAGGGCCGGTTCCCGAGCGGGACAGGGCCGGTTCCCGAGCGGGACAGCGGCGGTACCCGAGCGGGACAGCGCCGGTACCCGAGCGGGACAGCGCCGGTACCCGAGCGGGACAGCGCCGGTACCCGGGCGGGACAGCGGCGGTACCCGGGCGGGACAGCGCCGGTACCCGAGCGGGACAGCGCCGGTACCCGAGCGGGGCAGCGCCGGGCAGGGCAGAGCCGCGGGCCGGGGCCTCTGGGGCCGGCATCTCCGGTGCCCCGCGGGGCCCGGCACCCACCGCCTCCTTGATGATGCGGGTGATGACGGCGTTGGGCAGGTTCAGGTCCTCCGGTCTCTCCGCCATCCTGGGCCTCCTGCAAGGCAAACGCGGCGTCAGGGGCGTGGGGCTGGGCGGGATGCCGGCGGGACGGGGGATCCCCTCAGCGCACGGGGATCCCTCAGCACAAGGGGATCCCTCAGCACAAGGGGATCCCTCAGCACACAGGTACCCCTCAGGACACAGGTACCCCTCACGGGAACCCCTCACACACCCGGCCCGGCCGTACCCGCCTCGCTCGCCGCCGCCCCGCCCGCTCCCGGCGCGCACCGCGGCCCTGCCCGGGGCGGGAAATGGCGGCGCGGCCTGAGGGACGGCGGGGAGAGGAACGGCAAAGAGGGACAGGGAGAGGGGCAAGGGGGAGAGGCAGGCGTAGGAACGGGATAAGGGCAGGGAGAGGGGCAGGCATGGCTATAGGTGTATGTGTATATTGTATGCATAGGTGTAGGGACAAGTGCAGGTGATGGGACAGGGACAGGTGAAGGGACTGGGATGGGTTTGGGTGTAGGTGAAGGGACGGGTTCAGGTGTAGATGAAGATTCAGGTGAAGGCACAGGGACAGGTTCAGCTGTAGGTGAAGGGACAGATTCAGGTGCAGGGGATGGTGCAGGGACAGATTCGTCTGTGGGTGAAGGGACAGGTTCATGGGTAGGTGGTGGGACAGGTTCAGGTGCAGGGACAGGTTCAGCTGTAGGTGAAGGGACAGATTCAGGTGCAGGGGATGGTGCAGGTGATGGTGCAGGGACAGGTTCAGGTGCAGGGGATGGTGCAGGGACAGGTTCAGGGACAGGTTCACAGGTAGGTGGTGGGACAGGTCCAGGTGATGGTGCAGGGACAGGTTCAGCTGTAGGTGAAGGTTCAGGTGAATGCACAGGGACAGGTTCACCTGCAGGCCCGGGTGGTCACACTGTTGTCACTGGGGGCTGAGGGGCTGTCGGGGCTGTGAGCCCGGCCAGGCACAGGGGCAGCCTGGCTCCTCTGGGGAGGGGGAGCTGGGGCAGCCGTGGGGCAGAGCTGCTGCCTCTGGGAATGTTCCCAAGATCCCCCAAAGCCCTTGGGATCAATAAAGCCCCTTCTAAGGCTGTGTGACACTGTTAGCAAGTCAGGCATTACTGTATCCTTAGCCAAGAGTGTCTGTGGCTGACAAAGCTCCAGCGTCTGCACCGACACAGATACAAAACTTTTTCACTTATTTGTACATTTTTAGCAAACCAATTAATGTTCATTTGCTCTAGGTTACACAATTCTATTTATTACTTAGTGTTCTATCTGCTCTTGGTTGTTAATTTCTCACTCCTCACACTAATCTGCTCCACATACTTTATTACTTTTTTAATCTTTTTCCCAGTCAGGGAATCTCCAACTTTCCATGCCTTAATCTCCCCTGCATTTTCTGCTTACTCCAGCACACTTGAAGGGTCATAAATTTAAGATCCCAGATGTCCAATCTCCAACTCCCTTTGGCTTTGTTTATTGAAGCTTGGCAGGGTTACTTGTAGCAAATCTGAGGTTTTGGTTATTTAGTGATCAAAGTAATTGTAAGAGCCTGTGAAGAAACTTAACTAGTGCTAGCTGAATGTGGGCACTGGTTGCAATTAATTAAAACAATTAGTTAGGAAAGTTACATCATTTCCAACAGGAAATAACAGCTGTTTTCCCTCACTGGGTTCTGGCCTCTTCCCTTGTGGCTGTGTGAGGGCACAGGGCTGTGAGCTTCTCCATCCCTGCCCCACTGACCCCATGCCTCGCCTAAACCCTGTAATCCCATGAGACTTTATCCCTGTTGGTAACCTGACCAGGTAATTAAGTAAGCTCAGAGTGCAAGAAAGCAGATTAATTAGGTGCTGTGCTGAGGTGATATTTGAAATTGTGAGCAGTGATTGAGAGCGCAGCTCTTTTCCGTGGAAAATGGGAATTTCCTTTTATCTAGGGCAGTGTTTCTGTTGTGGGGAGAGTGGGCAGAAACTTGTGAGCACAGGTGAAGGTAACTGTGCTGTGCTGGGGAGAAGCACACCCTGAGTACACCTGGGCCTGTGTGAGCCCCTGTTCCAGTTCCAGGGACTGGATTAATTAATAAACTCCATCCCTGCTGTACAAATCATGTGTAAGTTTTGGTTTCAGCTCCTTTCCGTGTGCTCTGTTGTTACCCCTGGCTGCTGGGTGTCCCTGGGCAGGTGTGGCAGTGCTGGCATTGTGGAGGGGGCATTCACAGGTGACAGGCTGAGCTGCTGTGACAGTGACCATGACAGACTCGGATCCTGGACAGGGGGGTGGCTCAGAGCTCTTGGAGCCCTTGGGAGCCCCTGCTGCTCATTTTGGTTTCTGTGTTTTAGAGCATGAGGTGTTTTTGTCCATGAACTGAGAACCAAGTGAGGTGGTGGTGTGGGACTGCCTGGGGAAGGGGTGGGATGGAGCAGAGCCAGGAGTGGGGCTGCCCAAATCCAGGGATATGGCCCAAAGCTGCCCCATTCACCAGCAAAGCCTGGGTTGGGACCATCCAGCTCTGTGTGTCTTCTGGACACAACAGGCTCTCTCCTCCCTGGTGTGAGTCTATATTTGTTTTTAATTACAGTGTCTGGAGATTGGTACATTGAGTCCCAGGAAGGGACATTAAAGCCCATTCCATGGACAGGGACACCTCCCACTGTCCCAGGTTGCTCCAAGCCCTGTCCAGCCTGGCCTTGGACACTTCCAGGGATCCAGGGGCAGCCATCCTGGCCTTATATCCTGTAGGTCTAGAGCCTTTATTTTAAATCAGCTTTCTAGTCTTGTTTCACTGTCGTGTGTAAAACAGGGAAGATGTTGAGCGTGCAGTGCTCAAGTTTACTGCTGCGAGTCACATTTTACACTGCAAAAATATTTTACACAACAAAAATATTGTTCCATGTAGCACAGATATAAATACAGTGACAGAGGAGCAGCAGCTCAGCTCAGCCTGAGAGGGAAAGCAAAACCATGGGACAATATGGTCTTTCTGTACTTCAGGGAAAGGCTATAACAGATTTAGATTTAAATGCTTTAAATTAGATATTAAGAAAACACCCTGGAGGGTGGGCAGGCCCTGGCACAGGTGCCCAGAGCAGCTGTGGCTGCCCCTGGATCCCTGGCAGTGCCCAAGGCCAGGCTGGACAGGGCTGGGAGCAGCCTGGGACAGTGGGAGGTGTCCCTGCCATGGCAGGAGTGGAATGAGAGGATCTTTAAGGTCCCTTCCACATTCTGTGATTCTGTTTGATGACTCTGCACTGATAGTCAGGAGATGAACACTGTGATTTTTAAGCCTGCAGTGAGGGTGGGCACTCCTTTAACCTGCTTGTTTTTCACAAAATGGCACAAAAATGTGACATTTAAGGTTTAGCTGCAGGCACAGAGCTTACCCAGCAGTGTTTGTACTCCTCAGAACCCACTGTTAGTACAGAGGGGCTTGAATCTCACTTGACTTCTGTGAAAATGACACTTCAGCATCATCATGGCCAGAGAAAAAAATATTAACACAAAAATACAGATTATTCCAATGTAGAACAGTCTCTGTGGAACGCCTGTATTGTTTCCAGCACTCTTGAAGCCCTGTTTGGATGGGTGCCACCCAAGTCCTGTAAATAAGAGGCTGTTGTTGCAGTAACAGATAACTCTTCTCCTGCAGAATCAGGGATGTGTGCCAGGACGTGGTGCACAGGAGAGTTCTGAACAGCAAACCCTTCCCTCTGGGCACTCCCTGGCTCTGCTCAGAATGTTTTGGGGTTGCAGGATTCACTGTGAGGTCTTGAGCCTGAGAAGCGTTCAGTGCGTTCCTATCTGTGAGTCACTTCACACCTCTCCTCCCTCCTTAGTGCTGAACGGATCCACCCGGCTCGGGGTGACCCAGGGGACAGGGCAGCGCTCAGGGGACTCCAGACAAACAGCAAGAGACCCAGGGGTCACCAGGCAGAAGGTGAGGACACAGGGACACATCCCAGACGTGTTGGATAAAGGCAGAGACACAGGGACACATCCCAAACTGGTGTTGGATGAAGGCAGGAACACAGGGACACATCCCAAACGTGTTGGATAAAGGCAGGGACACAGGGACACATCTCAAACTGGTGTTGGATGAAGGCAGGAACACAGACACATCTCAAACTGGTGTTGGATAAAGGCAGGAACACAGGGACACATCCCAAACTGGTGTTGGATGAAGGCAGGAAGACAGGGACACATCCCAAACTGGTGTTGGATGAAGGCAGAGACACACAGGGACACATCTCAAACTGGTGTTGGATGAAGACAGACACACATCCCAAACTGTCGCTGGATGGTTTGCACTTACCAGTTTAAATTTCCTTGAGAGACTGTCCACGACTGCTCTGTTTTTTAAAGTTTTTTTTTCCTTTTGGCCGTGGAAGAAGAATGAATGTGAAACACTCAACAGCATCCTTTTTGAAAATAAGCTTTACTTGGTCATTATAATCTCTAAATTTTTAAGGGCATCAGGCCTCTAACTGAGAGCTGGTGCCTGGAATTATTCCATTTTCCCTCCCCTAAGACAGGCCAGGTACTGCAGGCAGGACCTGGTCCCCAGAGGATGGAGCTGTCCCTTGGAGGTGTCACTAGATACTTCTCTTCCTACCTTAGGCCCTCTAAGTTTAGCTCACCTCTGATGAAGGCCTCCAAGGCAGCATTTTCAAAATATCTTCCTGGTGTTCTTTTTTTAGCCATAAACGAATTCAGCAGTTTTAACTGTCAAAAAAGCGCCAGCCTAAAATTCTGCTGATTGAGTGGACTTTCCTATGTGACCTAAGACAGAGACTCGGACAAATCCTGTGTACCAGGTCAGGAACTATTTTCAGCCACATGGATGGACTATTGCATTAACTGTAATTCTGTTATTCCCTTTGGAAAGTGCTTTGGGAAGGAAAGCTGTAGGGTAACCTCTGTGTCACCTCTCCTGGTGTTCATTTGGGTTTGTGGCACCATGAA